TCCAATTAGTTCAACCATATTCCAATTATGACTTCTTTCAACCAAATTCGTATCCACCACCAGAAAATTTTCTTTGCTCTCCCATGTTTTAATCTGGACCTCGGCAATGCTTCTTTTATTCTTTGGATCTTGTAATAAAACCGCGTCGGTCATTTTTTCTGAGCCTTCTTTGAGTTTCCGTTCAACATGAAGTTTAAATTCCAATTCGTGAAGTTTGAGAGATATTTTTTGGCTGGTAATAGGAGAGTCTGATTTAATAAGGTCTAAAAAATAGAATTGATCCGGATTTCGCAGATCAGTCGAATGGTGCTTTTTTTCAGCGATTCAAACAATTGAATTCAAGGTCATCAGAAACAGAGAATCGCCGCGAAATCCCACCCAAATTTGACATATTGGCGCCTTTGCGGGTGACCTGTATCGATGGATCGTCCTCTTGGTTCATGGGAACAGCCCGTGACATTGGAGAGTCTCCTTGGGAACCGGGCGGAGGTGGATAAGATAAGGAATGCTGATATTGCGGCGGCGGATAACCTTCAGCCGGTGAAGTTTGTTGAGGCGTCTGTTGACCAGAACTTATGGGATATTGTAAGCTGTTACGTTGCCTTATTTGCAGTTTTTCCAATTCCTTTTGCAAATAATCGATATGCCTCTTGGCGTCATTAATATTTTGTTCACACTGAGTTTTCACCAGAGGGTTCCCGGTCTGAGACATGACCCTCTCGGCCGCCTGCCGCATTTGCTCTTCCTTTTTTATTTTTTCATTAATGGACTTTATTTTGACCTCGATATCCTAAAGGTGAAATTCTTGGTATTAGAGGTCAAAGTTCATCTTGCTAGTTGTCACTCCTCAAAAATGCAAGGAGAATTAAGATAATCATTTACGTTACCCCCATGACTTTCGTTCTTGTTAATTAATGAGCTGAAAATATTCTTGGCAAGGTGACATAAAAGAACCGAATGCTGGAGTAAAACTTATGATTATGAGTAGCACTTCATAGAATCGGTCACGTAGTACAGGTAACAGTATAGTATCCTCTGTGCTAATCATTTATTCAAGTGGACAAAAATTTTCTAATTTTGGCGACAACATTTCACAAATAGATTAAATCCGCCCGAGGTGATTCAGCAAAAAAAAAACTTGTGTACATACGTAATACGTATGTAATTACGATAGATGGTACACGTTAGATTTTTAATTTTCGATGGAGATCAGCCACGGAACACCAGTATTCCTACAAGAAATTGTTACTAATCCGGAAGAATGGATTGGAAAAGAAATTCGCGTAGTTGGCTCGTAAGTACCTTTTAAGAAAGACGAGTCGCGCTTTCTATTTTCACATTCATAAGTTATAGCTTTCTGCTTAAAGGTTGATTTATCACAATATTGAATCCGAAGTGGGAGTACTACAGCAATATTTAGAACGCAAAGAAAATTTTCTGGTGGTGGATACGAATTTGGTTGAAAGAAGTCATAATTGGAATATGGTTGAACTAATTGGA